TATATTTATTTTTGGTTTTTGATTTTTTATTTACCATGTCTCTACTATCAACATCAGCTCCATAATTCAACAATAACTGTGCCATCTGATGATGACCTTCATAAGCGGCCATATGCAGTGGTGTTCTGTCTACCTTGGTTCTTGCATCTCTGGATATTCCTGCTCTGAGTAAAACTTCAGCGGTTTCTGTATGATTATTTTGTGCTGCCAAATGCAAAGCACTTGTACCAAGCTGAAAAACAAAATTCATAATAATAAAATACCTTTATATAAATGAACAATATTATCTTAATTAATTGTTATATAGATACATACACAATCTGTCGTGAAGGGTGCTCCTCTACACATAAGTTCACGAACAGTCTCTGTGTCTCCATTTTTTGCACTAAGTAATAATTGCTTTCCTAATTCTACTATTGATAAGGCATCTTGAGAACGTGAACGTTGGGAGACATCACAAGATAAAATTTCAACCTGGCAAATATTGTTCGAGAACTCTCATAAACATTGATTTTCTAATACAGATTTTACATTGAACTTGTATACATTATAGATTCTTTTATTGTATTTGATGAAATCATTATTTTGATCAAATCTAGTTCACATACATAACTTGTTTCAGCTATTCAGTTATAAATGCAATTAATATGAAAAGAAAACTTACTGGTATAAGAGTGTCTTCGTCCAGTCCCTCGATATCATTGGCACAGATACTCTCAGCTTGCATGTTTGTATATCGAACTCAATTCCCCTCTCTCTGATGCACACTAAAATCAAATTATCCATAATATTTAAACGGTGCCACCAACTTTTCCGAATGAATAGGGTCGGCTCCGAATGTTCCATTTTCCAAGTATCAGTCATTGTACTTCGACCTTGAGGCACCGAAATTGAAAGTAGGTCGTAAAAATTGAAACGGAACTCAACTCGAAAGAAACGCGCTATCCTGATCACTTTATTCCTTTTCTAAATCACAAAAGCATCGCACGCTTATTTTTCGAAATTTCCTTCGATACAGGATGTTTTTATTTTGCCATCTCAGATCGCGAGGAACTTCCTGTTCCTGTTCATTAAACGGAAGTCCCATGCCATAGGCCCTGCGTTTCATGACCAAAAACTATCCAAATCGATTCGCGATAGCACGGAACGAAATTATACTTACGACCAGCACATTATTCACGCGTTTTGCTGGTTTTTCGTGCAAGTTTCCGTCGAGCACGCGACCTTTATCAGAATTCTTCCTCCCCACAGCCTTCTCGATTTACGGACTGGCTAAAGTTTTATAAAAATGGCGACGCATTGGCGCCATTCCTGACATAATTTATCCGATATTCCAATGAACCTTGAGCACGAATCAAAGAATATTTTTTAAATTCAATTGATTACAATAATACATTTGTATTCTGGTTTATAAAACTGGTTTATTACAACATAATAAACGATCTAAACGTAAAATATGTTCAATAATAATAATGTTTCGCAGCGCCGCATAGCGGTACACGTGGAAATTATTTATTCTCGAAAAAAAGTTAGGTACGTGATATGTACGTAAGGTTAGTTCGTCGGTTAACACTTTTAAAGAGACCGCGAATCTTTAAGCATTTCATCTTGTTTATCAGTTTTACTATATCGACGAGAAATTCTATAGAGATACAATTGACAGAGCAATATCTCTTCATATCATACATATATAAGATATAAAATGTCTAAGATAAATGATATTGTTTTTTCATTTTTTTAAATATAAGCAAACTAAGCATTTTTATATCATTTCGATAAAGTTATTGCTTTTCGTTAGTTTTAAAAAAATTTTTCTATTGTTTGTTAGTTCGACAAAATAGGTAAATTTGTTTTAGCGCCATATCACGTGATCATCATGCCTCTTATCTCACTGACGACTAAGTCCATGTTACAAGATGTCGGTGTAAAACGATGCTCGCTTGGATCACTGCCAAAGCTTTCAATTTCGTATTATTTGACGTGTGCTACATCATCGCATGTACCATATGCTCCTAAAGTATTACAAAGTTTCTATGAGGTATCGTAATGTACAACAAACACATTTTTTAAAGAAATGTTTCATGTACTGTATCATCTATCGTCCACAAATTGATACTATAAAAAATCTTTCAAAGGTTTAACATCATTTTTTTTATAGATCATGTTCGTCGATAATAAAAGAATTTTGAAAATTTCGATAATATTTACGATCTAATGTAATTCATTTCATATAGGTATGTATTTGTGAAAGATATTGATAGGTCATCGTTCGCGATTGGTCGAAATTTTAAACTTTAACGTATGATTGGTTGAAACGTTGATACGACATTTATATAACAAATTCGCATCAAATGCTTTGAACATTACCTCGCGATGTCTGATAATTTTGAACGTCATAATGAATTATCGTTTATTCTTCCATCCCGTGAACGCTGATTAATAATTTAATCTAACAGGTAAGAATAGGTTTTATAGAAAATTACCGACTTATGATCAAAGTGATCGAAGATTTATGCGCGGCAAGTTTAAAATGATTGTAACCTATAAATGAAAAAATTCGAGGATTCTTCGTAATAACCGTTGAATCAATTTATTAATTCCAAAACTTTTTTCTATGCGATAACGCAATCGAGGACGAAGGTTTGCTCATTAATTTTTCTTTATATACACGAACATCTAATATTTTACCAATTGTATTCGACCCAATCTTCCTACATCTCTATTATTACTCAGTAGACTCCTATATATATATATATATATATATATATATATATATATATATATATATATGAAAATACGAGAAATTTCAATATTTTTTATTCTTCCTCTTCGTTTTGTCTGTCCTTCTTTACTACAGGACATGTATATATACATACATAATATACATGCATACGTCATTGTTTTTTTATTTTTTTTACTTTCTTCGTCTCTACTATTGTTTCTAAATCTCTCGTTTCTTTCATTTTCTCCTTTTCTCCATTTTTTCCACCTTTTTTTTTGTATCCCTTACTTTTTCTCTCTCATACACATACACTATATTCTCATCCATTGCCTTCTACCACATTTCTAACTCTGTGACTAGCTTTCCCCTCCCTGTAGTTGACCCAGAATCGTAGAGATAACGGAGTATCAAGGTGCAACACAATGAATCTCCGTACCTAGGTATACACACGCGGTTAACTCTATATATATATAATATGTGAGAAACAGTAAGAGGGAGGGAGCGAAAGCGAGAGAGAGAGAGAGAGAGAGAGAGAGAGAGAAAGAGAACCATGTGGTATACGTATGGATTACTGTTGGTGGCTCGTTATCGCAATTGATAATATCGTGGATTGTGGCTCATGGTTGAATTAAACAAATTTCACGGAAATATCGGTTAAAAAGATTTTATTGGCTAACGGTTTAACCAACGTAAATTATCCATAAATATTACATAATAGAAAAAAATAAATAAATAAAAATAAAATAAAGTACTTATTGAAGAAATATATTTTATAATGAAACGTATATTTACTGTCATAATTGTAATCTATTAACGTTAAAGTATTTTCGTTCAATAATGTTTAAAACATTTTTAATTTTCGAAATATTGTCCGTTGAGAATCGTAATAAATTTCATTAAAATTTTTAAATCGATTTATTGGTAAGAATAGATAAATTTTTGCAACTTCGTAAAACTCGATACGTATCCGTTATTCGAAGTTTTGGGAACGTGTAAAATAACTGACCTTTGAACTCTCTATAGAGCAAAGGTAGCATAGGAAAGTATTATGCATACAGAGTTTACTATCGGGTGCGTGCACCGCCACATCGGGTTACCCATTCCTTATATCGTAATCTAAGGAGGTGCCTGGCCGCGCACGGTCACGGGAGTGAGCTTGCATGCTTTCAAACGGAGTAGGTTAGAAGGTTCGTGAATTTCTCATGAAGGAAAATGCATCGTCCGTCGTTGACGATGACCAAGGTGTGTATATGTGTGTATTCTTTTCTTTGCTACAAGAACGTAACAAGTACTTTCATCTCTTTTAAATGTCATCATTCGAGATTTATATACGTCATCCGTCAGTAATCATCATTTCGGATGATTATTTATTCTATATAATAATATCTATTTTCCGTGTTTGGAGCTCCGGAAGGATTAAGAAAAAATGGATCGTATTTTGGAGTATAAATCATCGAGAGAAAAATAATAAAAGTAGGCGAATATAAAAAGTAAAAAAGAAAAGAAAGAAGGAAAGAAAAAAAGAATAGTTACACTAAAACTTCGATACGTCACTCGGAGATTAACCTTATAACTTTTACATCGGAATTAAGGGTCGTTATGCAGCGTGCTAACGTTCTTCCAAACTACGCTACGATATATATATATATATATATATATATTTTCTATATACGTAGATATATACATTTATAGATTTACACGTACATATAGACGAAGTTTCGTGCCGCAGTCGCCGCACGGACTATTACAGGTTCTATGCGGTCTCGACCGCTGCAGAATTCAGGAAGTGTTGCACGGGAAATGAGATTCTTGCGTGAACAATACTCGAGACTCGAAGACCATTCCCTATTTGCATCGTGCGAAAAATAAAGAAATATGAGGATCTTAGAAACCGCCTCCCAAAGATACGAAGCTTCGGTTGGTTTCGTTATTTTTATTTGTAAAATGATAAAAAACATGAAGTCCGAGTGAAACTTTAAAATAGAAATATATTATGTTCAATGTATATAACGTTTTATAGACTGTATTCGTATAATTAAGAGATATGAATTAATTTCATTTAAATAGTTTAGTGAATGAAATGAAAATTTATTTCTAATCACGAAATATCGTAGATACATATTTATATGTTAGAAGTTGTTACTTTAATGTATTATTATCGCCATTATATTAACAAAATATCAATTAAATCAATTATTTTACAAAACCTAGATAAATACAATCATCTTAATGAAATTCCAATAGATTTAACTAGAATATAAAATAATTTATTTGCCATACGAAAGGTTTATCTTCTCTAAATTTAGTTTGGTCAACGTACGTTGAGACTCAAAGAAACTTCCTTACCTTTCCAAGTGTAAACAAAAGAGGGAGTACGCTAGCGTTAAGTAAATTTTGTCTTCTCTAATCGTCAGTATTCAGCACTGAAGTGTTCAACCAACCGAAAGAGAGTTATTTCTTTGCTTTAAGTTGACGTTTCTTTTTTTTCTCTTCAGGTCGATACGGACCCAACTTCCGGCGCACCATAACACCACGCCACAAAGCTTGGATCCTGATGGCACATTCTTGCACATGCTGTTCGTGTTTCTTCTGTTTTTTCAATGCTTCCTTTTCCGCGAGGTAAGCGTCTATAAATTTTTGCTTTTCTTTATACTGTAATGGAAAATTAATAGAACGAATTTCAATGTGTTTTCGTATCACCGCATAATAACTAATTGGGACGTTAAGCTTTCGTTAGAGACGAGTGAGAATATTGGAATTGGTACTCGTTCTTTTTATTCCTTTCTTTCTTTCTTTTTTTCATGCCATCTGTCACAATTATTTGTGATTGCTCAAGTGATAATATACGCGTATGTTACTATGAAAAACGTAAATTATTCATTAACTATTTAAACTATTTATTCTCGTCTTTATAAATTTCTTCATTAATTATTTTAGATATATCGTTACTTTAATAATAATATTATACAACACATGACTCGTTCATATTGAGAATACGTTGTCTTGAATTCGATTATGCCACAAGTGTTTAAGCTCTCTCGCTTGTACTCTTGTGTATAAATTGTTGTAGCCGCGGTGAAATTTCCTTTAAGTCGACAAGTGAAGTACATAGAATTTAGTATAATCTTATAATTAGTTATTTTTATATATTATATAAATACGTGTGTATGTATTATAAATAGATATACGTGTCTTGCATTTTGAAATTCACACGCGTAAGAATGACGATAAAAAAACCGTAAGAGTTAATCGTAAAGCTTCGTGAAAGAGTTTCAAGCGTGTTTCTTAGATCTTAAACGTAAAATTATGGATATCGCTCGATTCGAAATAGTCACGAACGAGTTTTTCAGCGGAGTTTATCGATTCTCGTATAAGTAAAATTTCTGCGATATGCCGAGTAACATAATGTCGAGTTTGATTTTTTACAATGATCGATAATCTTCACAATATATATATGTCGATAATCATCTTTTTCGAAATACAATAATCGTTCGTTTCGATCTATAATTTTTATTGAAACATTGGCTGAAAGTGTTATATATGCAAAATGTTCCCATAGGAATCAACGGGACATCGTATGGCCATCTGTAGTTGAACTATTTTTCTATTTTTCTTTGTGTTTGAGGTCTTTGTCGGGAATAAAACAGCCTCTTTCTTTTCTATGTTTAGAACGAAAACATTACCTCTTGTGAAAGTTCTGCTAAGTCTTTTTGTCAAGTTTCTATCTCTATGTTCACTTCACAGATTTCCTTCTCATACATTTTCTTCTCTTGATCGTACCGTCTCTGCCATTCTTCGATCTTTTCTTCGATACTCTGTAATTTTGTAAAAATATACTTTATTTATCTATAAGTAGATGCATATATATCACAATTGATCTGGATCGAACGTTTAAATGGGAACATCATGTATCAATAAACAATATGTGTTCAAAATTGTTTCTTTTTACTAAGTACTATTATATATATAAGCAGATTAACATATAGATATTTTTATTTAAATATTTTCATCTTGTATATTTTATATATATATATATATATTTCTTGCCATTATATAAAATGAGTCAATAATTATTATCATATAATTTTGGTTTTATGAAAAAAACATTTGACGATTGAAAGAATTTTTTCTTAAGTTCATTCTTTTATGAGATTTCAAGATTGATCGATATTTTTTTTAATGGAATCCTACGATTGTTTTTGCATAAAATGATTTTTTCGTGCAATTCTGAATAAAAAAAGTATTAGAATACAATGTCAAAAAATTATTCACGAAGTATTTTGAAAAAATTTTTAATGCTTCATACAACTATAATAAGCCATATCTTTTTCTTTTTTATTGAAATTAGAAAAAAATATAAGAAGAAGAAAACGAATGGTTCAAGGTAGATTATATATTATATATTTTTTTCGCAAATGAACATGTATTTACATGCATTATTGTACTTGTATCATATTTAACGTGGTAATATAGTAGTTAATGATTCGCCCTTTATATATGTATATATATATATATATGTATATATATATATATGTATATATATATATGTATATATATATATATGTATATATATATATATGTATATATATGTATATATATATATGTATATATATATATATGTATATATATATATATGTATATATATATGTATATTATACATTATTCTTCCTTTTAATGATTGAAGGTCATTAGTAGGCACTTCGTACACATTTGATTCAAAGCACCCAATAAAAAACGTATCTAATGGGAATTAAATCCGATGAGCATCAAGCCTTCTTTTTTACTACAAAAATAAGAAAAAGAATAAAAAAAAGACATTTCGATAATATTTATAAACTTTATAAGTCAATATCTCTTAAACGAAGCATTTGCGGACATACTTCCAAAGGAAAATTTTTCTTATTCTGAGATCCTAAATTCATATTTCAAATTCAGCCATTTAATTCGGGAAGAGTTTGTATATACAATATAATATATATACAACATATGGCATCTAAAAATATTTAAAATACTTTCATACTCACCGCGATATCCTGGATAAGAAACGTAATCAATTCGGTAAATACAATTTCTTCCATTTTTTCACGCTCGTGAAGATCATCGAGTGTTTTTTTAAATCTTTTCCATTCTTCCTTACACTTGATTGAATTTTGTTGACACTTAGCTTTATTCCACTTACACGAATACTTATGTTCAATGTCGCTAACTATTTTCAGTTTTTCATTTTCATTCTAACAAGCATCGGAAAGAGAGGAGGAGTTTCAAGTGGGTGGATACGAAAGAACTTTTTCTTTATTCTGACATAATACCTTTAAGTCGAGCAGTATATTCCTTAGACGGGTTCTCTCCGCTTCATTGCTCATTTTTTCATTGGTGATAGTTTGTCGAAGCTCCATCGCAGTTTTCTTCATCGCCGTGTATTCCTCGAATAAAGTCTCCTCTTCTTTTCTCTGGGTCACAATTCTTTCAATTTCTTTGGTCAACACATCGAAACTACCATATTCGCGTATTTCTTCCTTCAATTTCTCCATAATTCCTCTTATGTATAGGCTATTCAGAAGTATCGAAAAAAAGAAAAAGAAAAAGAAACGAACGAAATTATACAAAAAGAAAATTAATGTCAACGAGTTTAGACGAGAGTTAAAGAATAAAAATTTATATTATCGTTTAAACCTATCGTTATGTAGTTTGTTATATGTAGCTTGTTCCTGCATATCTTTTATCATTTTTTTCATATCTTCATTAAGTACTTGCTTGTCTGTTGTTTCCAAATTTCTATAAGGGAAAATTAAAAAGAAAAAAATATAATGTTGTCTTGTAAGAGATATTATGCGATATTATTTTTATTTAATATAGGTACATACTCGAGTTCGTAAAGAATATAAGGAACGGTCGTGTTTTTCGATCGCTTAAAAATCTGTTTGAGAGTTTTTTGATAAATAACTAGCGCATTCGTGCAGTCTTCGAATATTATCGAAAGAGCAGCCACTTTCGAAGAGGAAAGTTCGGATAAATTATTTACTTTCTTCTCGGCCATCGAGTACCGTCCAATTAATCGATCTCTCTCTCTCTCTCTCTCTCTTTCTCTTTCTTTCTCTCTCTCCCTCCCTCTCTCTCTCTCTTTCTTTTCTCTCTCTCTCTCTCTCTCTCTCTCTCTCTCTCTCTCTCTCCCTCTCTTTCTCTCTCTCTCCCTTTTTCTCTTAATTTAAAGAAATTCAACAAGTTGATCGATGCCGATCATTAGTGAAATACTTCTTGATCTTGACGTGTTCTAGAAAGTTTGTAAAATCATTAAATGAAATATTTGTATATACGTACATAGGTAGCTCTTACATTTCAACAAAATTTTATTCGGTTGATTTTGCGCCGAGTAATTGAATATAACTGGCACCATGCGCATACACACATCCTACATATCTGTTAAATTCAACGAACGAGCCAATTTATCATACTTCCGTGTACTTCGTGAGAAAGCCATCTCGTTTCGATTTTTGCCACTCTACCGTTTATTTATTATTTTTATCGTACATCTCTATGTATAGTTCGCTACAGTATTTCAAAAGTTCCTTTACGTTTCCCGAGAAACGAATAACGAGACCTTTCATTTTAACGTGCGACGTTTAATCCGTGATTTTTACAAATTTACGAAGAAATTTATATCTTTTGTGCGTGTTTGTGTATGCGCGCGCGCAAGATTAATTTATGTACATACATATAATATTGAATTACGTCGATCGTATGATTAATCGAATCGATTCGAATACGAATGATTCTACTTACTTTGACGAATTTCGAGATATCCAAAATAAAATAAACATTTTTGTGATGTATATCATATACTGATCGATTTCGATATAACAAACGTTTTATACGAGCACCATAAACTTCACCAAGTGGAGTGGTTGCTGAGAAACGTTTTTAACGGTGAAAACGGTTTGATCTATCGCTTGTCGTTACTCTAGCAACCATAACAGTCAGAACGCAACCTCCATGTACGTATTTATAGTATGTATCATCAAAATTACGCTTGGTATTGTGGAAAGCATTTTTAAATAATAAAACGTTATTACTTTCATTTTCACTTCTCGTTAGCACCTGTCGATTGTATTAAGGGTATTACGGTAAGTAACCATTTTGAAAAATGATGATTAAATAAGACAAGATTATTATCGGGAATAGGAATGAAAATTCTTAGGTAATGCGAAGAAGCCGTTTGGTTTCTCGCGTACAATTAAAAATTTTTAAGAATTACGTAAGAATCAGACTATGTCATAAATC